GAGAGAAGACCGAGGAGAGAGAGACGAGAAGTGGAGGAAGGAGAGAACGATGAAGACAGAGAGGAAGGAGGAGACGAGAGATGAGGAGAGAGAGAGAGAGAGAGGGAGAGAGAGTGAGATGAGAGGAGCAGAGAGGAATAGAGAGAGGAGAGGAAGGAGAGAGAGAGAGAGAGAGAGAGAAGAGAAGAGAGAGAGAGAGAGAGAGAGAGAGAGAGAGAGAGAGAGAGAGAGAGAGAGAGAGAGAGAGAGAGAGAGAGAGAGAGAGAGAGAGAGAATGAGGAGAGTAGAGAGAGAGGAGAGAGAGAGAGAGAGAGGAGAGAGAGAAGAGAGAGAGAGAGAGAGAGAGAGAGAGACGAAGAGAGAGAGAAGAGAGAGAGAGAGATGAGGAGAAGGAGAGAGAGAAGAGAGAGAGGAGAGAGAGAGAGAGAGGAGAGGAGAGAGAGAGAGAGAGGAGAGAGAGAGAAAGAGGAGAAAGAGAGAAGAGAGAGAGAGAGGAGAGAGAGAGAGAGAGAGAGAGAGGAAGAAGGAGGAGGGAGAAGAGAGAGAGAGAGAGAGAAGAGAGAGAGAGAGAGAGAGAGAGAGAGAGAGAGAGAGAGAGAGAGAGAGAGAGAGAGAGAGAGAGAGAGAGAGAGAGAGAGAGAGAGAGAGAGAGAGAGAGAGAGAGGAGAGAGAGGAAGAAGAGGAGAGGAAGAGAAGAGAGAGGGAGAGGGAAGAGAGAGAGAGGGAGAGGGAAGGAGAGAGAGAGAGAGGGAAAGAAGGAGAGGGAGGGAGGGAAAGAGAGGGAGGGAGGGAAAGAGAGGAGGGATCAGGGGGGAGGGAAAGGGAGGGAGGGAAGGAGAAAGTTTGTTTGTCTTTCACTACAGTTCAATAGCCATACCTTATTATCTTCCTCTTCTTCCTCTTCCTCATTGTCATTGTCATCATCATCATCCTCGTCTTTATGCTGTTCATTTTGTGTTTGTCTTCTGTTTACGGACGAATCTAATCTTTGTCTTGGTGAAACATTGAAACTGTCATTTCCATTCATACTTGTTTCTAGAAGAAATATGAATATAATTGATTATCAGAGGGAAAAGAGCCAATTTACTTTTCCATCATGTAACTCACACTGCAGAGTAAAATAAAGAGCAAAACACACATCAGTTTGTAAAAAAAGAAAGAAGAAAAAAATAAATAAGAATAGATATCACATATTAGTCTCAAGTAGGCATGATTCAAGATCAGACCAAGAATACCTGAATCATTGTCATCAGATTGTGAGGTAACAACTGAAAGGGATGACTGAGTTGTTGTTGTTTCTGTGTCATCATCATCATGCCCTGAAGTCTGAGGTTCATTATCAATGTCATCAGAAAGATCGGTGTTTGAAGTCCAACCTTCTACTTCACGTTGGACAAGGGAATCAAAGAAAGCCATCATCCGGGGGTCCTCATCTGTGCACCCATGGCTGTAGTCATGATTAACATCCTGGAATGGAAAAGTGTGTGAATTTAAATCTATTTATTCTAAAATCTGTGCATCCATGGCTGCAGTCATGATTAACATTCTGGAATGGAAAAGTGTGTGAATTTAAATCTATTTATTCTAAAATCTATCCTTAGTTCAATTTCATTCAATGAAAAGATTGTACTTTTATTATTTCTCAAAACATTTACCTTCATTATCATAAAAAAATAATTACCAGAACATAGAACTAAATATAAGAAACTAAGATATTGATACAAATATTCACAGAAGTACTGTGATTGCATTCAATGTCTACATTGGCTTTAATGACAAATTACTATAAATTTACAAGAATAGAAATTCCTTCACATTTTGGGATCTCTAGCTACATTATTAGACTTCTTGGCTCTCTGAAATTACCTAGTTCAATAAAAAAATCATAAAATGACAAAGAAAATTCGTCTCCACTACAAGAGTGCAAAAACAGTTAGGAAACAGAACAGAGAATGTATTCCAATAACTTAATTTTGGTCAATCTGTTAACTTAGATTTCTATACTAAATAATGATCATAAGAAAAGTCTTAGTACTGTACAGTAAAATTACCTTATAACTGGATGTGAGTAAAATCTACATTAAAAAAAATATTAAGTCTACATGTATGAAATTTTAAACAAAATGTTAACTAGTAGAATTTGCAAAACTCACCAGAGGAGACTGAAAATATTAACTAAATATACTTTTTCTAATCAGGATTGTTGTATGGCACATCCATCAATCAAGGAAAACAAAAATAAGAGAATAATCCACTTTGGGAAATCCTCAACTATCAACCACCAACTGCTTTTCTGTCGCAAGAGAAAATCTACTAGAATTTTCCTTTTTGCCTCATAGTGGACTTGCGTGTGATGTATCTCTCTCTTGGCTTTGGGATATGCAGCTCTCTCTGATGTTCTAAGTATTTCACTGACTCTTACCTCCCTTTGTGTACGATATACTAAAATGAGCTCCCTAGCAATTGGTGAGGGAAGTAAGAAGCAGCCAAGGGATAAGGATTGGGTCGACTACTTCTTCAGGGAAGGTAAAGAAAAGGATTTGAGAAGTTGCTTTGCTGTGTTTGCTGAAGTTTGTTATATGGAGGGTCCTATAGAAGTCCTTCATCTGGTCTCTTTGCAAGGTTTCAGCAGTTTCATCTGCCTTGTGCTCTAAATATTGGTGCTGACATGCTTATCTGCTGTGTCAGCTCTTTCCACTTCTTAGGCTGCCATCTGTCTCCAAGTCTCTCAATCCAGACACACTACCCTAATACCCTCTGAAAGTTCTGGCTCCCTACACAGTCCAAGAAGATGAGTGGCAGTGTTGATGGTGCAAAGGGGTATTACAGCTGTCAGCAACTTCATCCAGTGGGTCCATCTAACTTGTCATCCAGCTTCCGGTGGCCAGTCTATACATCTAGCTTACCCCTTGCAGATCCTTAAAACTCCCAAGGCTTCTTAAGTCTGATTTTTTCCCCAAAAGCTTCTTAAGTCTGATTTTTCCTCATGTCTCCATTTCATCAGCAGGTGCTTAATCAGATGCATTACTACTCCTGATATTCTTTTCCTCATAGGTGGCATGGATTGTCTGTATTCTTCTTGGTAGTCTCCTTAGAGCAGTCTATTGTGAGGGGATTAGAGTTGCTTGCAAAATTCCATGCTTGTTTTAATCAGTGCTTCAAGCTCCTCTGCCCTAATCTACTCGTGAGTCAGTTCATGACATCTGTATATTCACATATTCATATATCATTTTATCTCTATTGGCAAAATAGACAAACATTTCCTAATACTGATAAAAATTTCTAATGTCTTTAAGATTACTCTTCAAGAAGAAATTATTTTAAAGCACATCTGAAGCAAACAGAAAAAAAATAAGTACAAAAGGTTATGCAATATTATTAGATTTTTCTTTGTCTTTCTACTTACTTGACCACTCTCCATAAC